GTGTGTGTGTGTGTGTGTGTGTGTGTGTGTGTGTGTGTGTGTGTGTGTGTGAGTGTGTGTGTGTGTGTGTTTGTGTGTGTGTATGATGAAAACTGTAATGGAGAGGTGAAAGAGTATACCTTGTATCATTTGAAATTCGGTTTGTGTGAACATCATTGCTACGTTAGCGTTGTTCTTACCTAGATTCTTACCTCATAAGTGGAATTGAAGAAACTTCTATCCTTTTACACTCGAGCCTCCCCCAAATAAATAGAGAATAAAATAAAACTAAACAAACTTTTAAACAAATAATCCCTTTGCATGCCCCCCCCCCAACCCCACACACACCCATTTAGTTAGAAAGAGTGAAAAAATGCTTCACTTTCTCCCTTTGAAAACCTCAGACCAACCTCCAATAAAACAATACATAAAGTTTACTTCAGATACAGCAAGCGTTTTGAATATCTGCATTTTTCTTTGTTCATTTTTGGAAGTTCATACTTGCTCAATCACCATCACACATATCGAAGAAGCATTTAATTTTGAGCCTTTACATTTAATGGGTGTTTGTTTGGTGGTTTGCTCCTTCGTTCCTACCAAACATTCATCGTCCTTATTTCTCATCTTTCTCTCTGTAACACCTCTAATCTTTGGCACTTTTTTTTTACCTGATTGTGTTTGAAGTACCATAAAACCCTTGCTAATACACTAAAACGTAACTTGTTTTCTTTGTTCATTTTTGGCAGTTCCTGTTGGCCCTGATCAAAACCTCACTTTAATAAATCAAATACATGTATTTTCAATCTCTAATCTTTTTATTTGTTCATTTTTGACAGTTCCTTCTGGCTCTGATCACCATCATTAAGGTGATGGTAGTGCTGTACAGTCCCATGTTTCTGCCGGAGAGCATGTACAGGTGAGGGTCAATGTGCGCCTTTTCTTTGCAGTAGGCAAAGTAGCAAGGTTAAGATCAACCCACGTGGGGGTGGCTTTTTAAAGATGTCTTTAGATTCTAATCGTTTGCTTTGAATGAACGTATAAGGACTGTATCCTCGGAAACAGTGGGGATGTATGAGGACAGGGGGAAGATAGGGTGGGCTAATGATGCTGTTGTTGCTGTTTTATCGTTGTTGATGATGGCGATAATGATGGTATTGAGGTTAATTTTTTTGTCATCGTCGTTGTCGTCGTTATCGTCGTCGTTGTCATTGTCGTCGTCGTCGTCGTTGTCGTTGTCGTTGTCGTTGTCGTCGTAGTCGTTTTCGTTGTCGTTGTCGTTGTCGTTGTCGTTGTCGTTGTCGTTGTCGTTGTCGTCGTTGTCGTTGTTGTTGTTGTTGTTGTTGTTGTTGGTGTTGTTGTTGTTGTTGTTGTTGTTGTCGCCGCCGCCGTCGTGATAGGTGTCGTGTTGTTGCTTCCATTGCAGAAGCAGCAGTTTATTGTTGAAGTGTTTGCTCGACAATGTCCCCGTGATATCGCCTCCACCCGCCCCACTCCTCTGAAAATTTTTAAAATTATATAATAGCGAAAAGAACATACTTTATGAAAATCCCTACCTTACGGGCAACCGAAGTTTCAACGGGACTGTTTCAGAACGTTGTTTTGTCTCTGATCCTTACAAATTTCATCATCTTCCTTGGAAGATGTGTTCGCCGCATCTCCCCAATAGATATTGTTTTTGTTACTCTTTTTTAACACTTCTAATCTTCGGCACTTATATGACCCAGTTCTCTACCTCAGAATTACTAAGTTCTATCTGCACAGAACCTAGTTTTGAGAATTTTTTTTGTCAAAGATTTTGAGTTTCACATCATACAAGCTTTTTCGAATGCAGTTCTCTGAATATCTTGATAATGACTCCGAATAATCTTACGATTTTGATAGAGTAGATGGAACATTTGGTTTCTGACCTCGGTGGTCTAGTGGTTCGGCTACCGGACTCGTAATCGTGAGGTTACGAGGTCGGGGGTTCTTGTCCTTGGGAAGGGCACTTTACACGAATTTTCCTCACTTCAGCTAGGTGGGAATGGGTACCCGACCATAGACAGCGAAAGATCTTGTCAGTATGAGAGTGTTTTAGCGCCTATAAATGGCTGCTTGCGCTGTATGCTTCCCAGGAAGTTGAGGTTGTTTCAGAATGCTCTCAGATCTGCTTGTGTAGTAGTATATATTGTGAAGCGCATAGAGCTTGCTGTTGAGCGCGGATTTACGCTATACAAATGCTATCTATTATGGTCTTAGTAACTCAAAACGGTCCAAAATGTCAGATATAACTGTAAATCTGAGGTAGCGAATAGTGTTGCGAGTGCGGTAAAAATCTTACTACAAAAACATTTTCCTTGTCCGCAGAGTCAAGTACGTGGCCGCCCAGTACATCCACCACCTGACCGGCCCACCCCTCAAGCTCAAAGTGGTGGTCTCTCAAGACCCTGAACAGTACGGGCCGGAGAACAAGGACAAACGGATACGTCTGTCCAGGCTGAAAAACATGGAGGTTTTCAAGACAATGGTGGCCAGTGGTGGCTGGACGCAGGACAGGATCTATGAGGTGGTCACGGGAGTCTTGGAAACACTTTTCTTTCTTTCTTTCTTTCTTTCTTTCTTTCTTTCTTTCTTTCTTTCTTTCTTTCTTTCTTTCTCTCTTTCTTTCTCTCTCTCTTAT